CGCATTTAGAAATCGCAATATTGCTTTTCTTCATGACAAGCAGAGTTACCGGGGTAGTGCACTAAATTTTGAATGCACTGATTGCTCAGAGGTGCGCACTAGCACTCTGTAGGACCTGGGTCCGATCCCTGATGTGTACAACATCTAAATTATAAAAAACTTAACAGTGGCCATCTCTCCTCGGGCAATGGCAAACCTCTGAGGGTATTTCTGCCGTGAAAAAGCTTTTTATCAAAAAACCATTTACCGTTCGGAGGCGGCATATAACTGTAGGTGAGGGACCTTTGTGTGACATCATCAAGACGCGCACACAAACCGGAGGAGCAGCTCGGCAAAGCAGTAGCAGATGTGTTAGATGCAAATATCTATTTTACTGACGCGTAAAATTTATTCACTACCAATAAAAGCTTGAGTACTAATTTTCTTCACTATAATTATATTTAGCGGTAGTAAATAAATTTTCTACTAAACTTAAATAGTGCAATATTTGAAAGCACTACATACATATATACAGTGGTGAAAAAATTAATAGAAAAAAGTGTTTACAAGTTTAGACATTTTTCTTTGTTTTTTTTACTGTTTAATTCTTAATTTTTTGGAAAAGTCTAACACATTACATAAAAACAGGATATAAATCAACCTTTTAAACCAAGAGGTGGTCTTATTAGCATAAAAGAGAATAAAAGAAATGCCATCGGTGTTGAACAATATGCAAAAACAAATTTGCAAGCTTGGATCGATAACAAAATTTTGAGTGATCAAATTGAAGTTGTGCGTTTTTCTTTTGCCAAAGGTCCTTATTATGAGTTGCATTCGATCTTCGATAGCCAGCGAGCTATGCAAGCGTGTCGAAATTTTCGTTGAGTATCGAATTTTCTGTCTCCCACATTTTCCGCTTGTGCTGATTTAACAGTTGCCGAATCTCTAAATTAAGCTCCCTCAGACGGGGGTCCCCGGGATCGACCTGGCGTAGGTGGTCACGCACATTTGCTAGTACAGCTGCTTCGGCCGGGAAATCTGGGCGGACTTCCGCGATACGTCCGGACGGGATGAAGCGAGCCGCTGCGGCAGTGACTACCCTGCGGAACTGGTGTTCGTTAGTATGTACGTCTGTGGGTGTGGGAAGGGCGGCGAAGCTGCTCTCGGTAACTTCCGCGAAGGCGTCCCAATCAGC